ATCTCACCTCAGCTCAACTCACCCTAACTCACCTTAACTTATCTAAACACACCTCACGAGAACTAACTTCTCTTCAGTTCAGTTCCCCTTAATTCAACTCAACTCGACTCACTTCAACTACCCTTAATTTTAGCGGTTAAATTTCAACCGCTGGGCGAACTCTACTAAGATTGAACAATCTTTAAAATATATTTAATTGTTGGCTATCCTCCGCAACTTCGAGTAAATTTGTGGCTCAAACAATCAATAAGCTATAAAATAGGCAAATTGTAAAAGCACTCGAAAATTCAACCATCACTCAAAATGAATTCCTTCTTTGTTCTTAAGTAAAGAAACCACAACCAATTCGTAAAATTTAGGAAAGTATTTGTTTTAATTAAGGCACAATTAAAAGCCTGGGATTAATAAACTTCTATGCACACGCACAGCATTTCACCCTATTTCAAAGAATGTAAATACCCTGCAAAAAATGCAACTAATCCGGAATGAATCCGAGAACAATCGCAAAGCAACATGCGACTTATACCACTTTCGATCAATTCATATGGGATGCACTGTCCGCTTTTGTTTGAGCATGTCCTACGAAGCGACTAATTGTTCCCCATTATACTCGAACGTGTATATAAGCGATAAGACACTTAAAAAAAAAAAAAAAAAAAATTACGCCAGATGCGATTTGAACCGGAGTTCTCAGTTTAGTTAAGCGAATACTCTCTCTCTGTGCCAACGCCGCATATCGAATTTCATTGATTAAGTGCGTACATATCAATAAATCGTTAATAGTACCCGTTAGAGATGAGTAGGGGACTAATTGATCCCCAATTATATCCGTATGGGACTAGTTGCGACTAATTACTGGTCAATTGTACCCGATTGAGTTTACTCTCGGGTAACTACATTGATATATACATATATATATGTATGTATATACAGTTGCATGCAAGTAGGCATATATGTGTGTATGTGCTGTACTTAAGACATGCTAATCTATGCAGAGATACCTTCGTCTTGCATACACCACAAAAGTAAAGCACTCACTCCTCCTGCCAGCTACATATGTATATACATACAGACATACAAGTTATAATGCGGTCGCAGTTGTGTCGACCAACCGCTGCCGAGGCTACTTAAGCTGGTGCAACTAATCTCGGTCGCACAGTCTGCACTCAAACTCGCAAGCGTGAAGGTGTCACACAGCCACAGTCAACCACAACACAACACTGCTAGATACTAGCTCATCCTAATTTATAAATTCTAAATGCTACACATAGTTACTTACAAAGAAGCACACTTACACGCACGCTCACGGCATACATACCCACACACACACACGCGCTATACTATANAAGAAGCACACTTACACGCACGCTCACGGCATACATACCCACACACACACGCGCTATAGNTAAGGCACAATTAAAAGCCTGGGATTAATAAACTTCTATGCACACGCACATCATTTCACCCTATTTCAAAGAATGTAAATACCCTGCAAAAAATGCAACTAATCCGTAATGAATCCGAGAGCAATCGCAAAGGAACATGCGACTTATATCACTCTCGATTAATTCATATGGGATGAACTGTCCGCTTTTGTTTGAGCATGTCCTACGAAGCGACTAATTGTTCCCCATTATACTCGAACGTGTATATAAGCGATAAGACACTTAAAAAAAAAAAATAAAAAAATTACGCCAGATGCGATTTGAACCGGAGTTCTCAGTTTAGTTAAGCGAATACTCTCTCTCTGTGCCAACGCCGCATATCGAATTTCATTGATTAAGTGCGTACATATCAATAAATCGTTAATAGTACCCGTTAGAGATGAGTAGGGGACTAATTGATCCCCAATTATATCCGTATGAGACTAGTTGCGACTAATTACTGGTCAATTGTACCCGATTGAGTTTACTCTCGGAATACTCTCTTTAGAGACTAGTCGCACATTTTTTTTTTTGCAGGGTAACTACATTGATATATACATATATATATGTATGTATATACAGTTGCATGCAAGTAGGCATATATGTGTGTATGTGCTGTACTTAAGACATGCTAATCTATGCAGAGATACCTTCGTCTTGCGTACACCACAAAAGTAAAGCACTCACTCCTCCTGCCAGCTACATATGTATATACATACAGACATACAAGTTATAATGCGGTCGCAGTTGTGTCGACCAACCGCTGCCGAGGCTACTTAAGCTGGTGCAACTAATCTCGGTCGCACAGTCTGCACTCAAACTCGCAAGCGTGAAGGTGTCACACAGCCACAGTCAACCACAACACAACACTGCTAGATACTAGCTCATCCTAATTTATAAATTCTAAATGCTACACATAGTTACTTACAAAGAAGCACACTTACACGCACGCTCACGGCATACATACCCACACACACACACGCGCTATACTATATGTGTGTGTGTGTTCACTTATAAGGACACGGAACTGTTTTCCATTGCAAATACTAATTGCAGCATAGTTAGAAAGCAGGAGATTGAAGCAAGCAACTTTTACAAATTACAACAAAAGCAATGATAAAAAACTTTCTTTAATTAATTGCAACTTTTTTTGTTCTCATTTTGATTTTCATTCGGCGCACAGTGCATCAGCGGAAGCGGCAACTTAATACAAATACAAAGGCGAAATTCAACTTAAACGATTGCAAACGAAGCCAAAGGAAGCGTTGAAGTAGAGCAAAGCGCAAATAGAAAGAAAAAGAAAAGTAGTAAAAAAACTGAACGTAAAATTTCCGATCGAGACGACCGCATTGCATAAATTATATAATATTTGAAATCAAAGTATATCGGCCGCAGCATGCCGATAAAAATGAGGCGAACGAAGCTGACATTGCACACGACAACAGTCAAAATGAAGCAGCTGACTTGACCAACAAAAGCAAAAGCGCAAGAAAAAACAGAGAAAAACGGCGCGGCAGTTGGCGCGCTAGCAGCTGGATCAACAGCAGTGGTAGCAGCAGCAGCAGCAGCAGCAGTAAGATTATTAACTACAACAACGATAACAGCAGCAACAACGGCGCAGTGGCAGCATTGTCGCATTGGCGTTGGACGACTTGGTTGTGGTGGTGGCGGTGGCGGTGGCACAGGCCACAGTGGCGGTGGCAATGGCGATGGCGATGGCAATGGCAATGTTGGTGGCGATGGCGGCGCCAACCGTCCTACCGGTCGTTGGCTTGGCCAACATTACACATCAATAGCCAATGGCTGCAAGCTATCAGACAACTAAATATTTACTTTATTCTCCTGCGTGTACACTGTATGTTGATACTTAATTACTTTACGCCCAGAACAAGCAGAAGTGCAAGCAACGACAACGACAACGACAACGACAACGACAGCGACGACGACGACGAGCAAACACCATCATCAGCAGCACTTAAAGTTACGTATACGCCCCATTGCACCGGCAGTAGTATAGCTAAAAACAACACTAATGCCAGTAACAACAGCAGCTGCAGTGCTCATCACAGCAGTCAATGCAGATGCCGCCGCCGCAGCAGCAGTGCGTTTAAATCAAACATCAACTATAGCAGGCCCGCCACCAGAGCCAGCACCAACACCAGCACTTCTGCTAAAGTCAATTGCAATAAGCTAAAGTTTGCAAAACCAATCAGCAATAATAGCACAGGCAGCAGCTGTGGCCAAAAATCGAAAAGTCACTGCCAGCATGAAAACAATAACAATGGTATGCAGCAGCAGCAGACGGGGAGGGTAACGGCGATGGAGAAGACACCGAAGAGCCAGTGGTGGCGGCAGTGTGTAGTCCATAGTGTCGTTTATATAAAATGGCTGATTTTCGAGCATTTTGTAAATCACTTCATTACCATGCAAATTGGGGTAACACTTTATGCTGCAACAGCAACAACAAATGCAACAGCAATAGCCAAAACAACAATGGTGACGGGCAACAAAGCAGCCAAACCCACTTTCACTTCAATCACTTGCACAAACACAAATACAGCCACAATCACAACCACAACCACAACCCCAACCACAGCTACAAATGAAAAAGTAAACACAAACGCAGACACAACGAGAAGTGCAACAATCAAAACTTATAGCAGAACAAAAAGGAGAAGAAGAAGCAGCAGCAAAAGTAAAAGCAGCTGTAGTAGCTGTTGGAGCAGCAGCGGCGGCGGCGGCGGCGGCGGCGGTGGTGGTGCTGGTGCTGGTGGTGGCGACACGTTGACAATGCCGCAAATTAAAGGACCACAACGACAAGGACGAGGACGAGGACGAGGACGAGGACGAGGACGACGACTACAAGGAATTTGCATTATAAGACTGATATCATTAAAGAGATTTCTTCAAATTCCTAAGCAACAATCAAATGTATTACTTAAGCGTATAAAAAACTGCCTGAGCGCCATTAGCACGGCTGTCAGCTGTCAGCTGTGGCGAAGAATAGTACGAAATGTGCGTGCGAAAGCGTCAGTGGCGGCAATAAATGCAGAAATACAGCAAATCAAGAGTATAGAAGCAGATGCTTTGATAAAAAAAGAAGCAAAATCAGTAACAGCAGCAACAACAACAACAGCAACAACAGCAACTGAAACAAAACCAGCAGCGGTGAAAGTGTTAAGGTTATCACCTCAAAAGCGCACGTTCAAGCCAGTAACGCCTCCAGCGCTTTTGTCACCTACACAGCAACGGCCGCCACAGGCACAGCCATTAAAAGCGTTAACGCCATCAATGCCAGCAACTGCAGCCCATCAGCCATCTACACTCCTTCCCCAAGCCACACTCAAACCGCAAACTGGAAACCAACTGCACGCTCAACCACAACCGCAACTAATGCACTATCAGCAGCAGCAGCTGTTACAACAACATCTACTAAAAGTTGGTTACGCATCCATCTTACAATGCGCATCTGCCGCAGGTGAAGCGTTGAAGTGTTTATGCCGTCACGTTACGCGTTTCTTAGTTAAATTTCATAGCCGTTGGCGTTTAGTTTTGCACTTTGGTCGCGTGTCGTTGTTGCATCGCTCGCTCACTGTGTTGATTTTGTTATCTTCGTTGTGGCATGGCACTGAGTGTTTTCATGGCAGCGTCAAATTGAGCGCCAATACGGTGAAAACCAAATATGGTCTGTTGCGCGGCATTGTGGTGCGCTCTAGTCCGCTCGTGGAAGCCTATCTGGGCATACCGTATGCATCGCCACCGGTCGGAAGTTTGCGGTGAGTAAAATGACTTTGGTATCTATACATACACTGGTGGTCAAAAATGGATGAATGGTGTTTTGTTTTTAATAATGTTTTTCAAGCTAAATTTTTATACCCGAGCGCACTTGTGCACAAGGGTATATTAATTTTGTTCACATAACGGTTGTTTGTAACAGCCAAANAAGGTGAAAAACATATATTTAATACGTGCGCCGGGTATTTAATGTTCGGCTCTGCCCGAACTTAGACTTTCTTACTTGTTTTTTGATATTTTTTTATAAAACAAAACCCGTATATAAATCACACTTTCAAACTTTATGCAGAATTTAGAAAAATTCCACAAATTTTTATCTAAATTTCGAGCTTTTTAACCAGAATGTTTATAAATGTTTTGGATATGCAGTTAACAGGCTAATACAATTTTAGTAAAAGAAGTGCAAGTTTTGAGCGACTAAAAAATCGCATTGATTTCTAATAATTTTTTTTTTTGTTGACGGTGTTTTGCACTTTTTTCATATGAGCCTGATTTTTTGTAGAAGTCAACGCCATTTTTATTAGATTTTGCTATTTATATGAAAAAACCGCTAAAGCCGTCGACATAAAAAAATATATATATTAAAAATCAATGCCATTTTCTAGCCGCTCAAAACTTGCACTTAATTTACTAAAATTGTATAAGCCTCTAACTGCATACCCAGAAAATTTATAAAAATCCTGGTTGAAAAACTCGAAATTTAGATAAAAATTTGAAATTGGAGTTTTTCTATATTCTGTATAAAGTTTGAAAGCGTGCTTTATATGGTTTTTGTTAAAGCATGAACCATGTTTTTATAAAAAAATATTAAAAAAATTGTAGCTTGAAAAACATAGTAAATATTGAAAACTAAACACCGTTCATCCACTTTTGACCGCCATGCATCCATATACATACATATATAATAAGCACAGGGATTTAGAAATGGTTTGGTTTGACAATGTTTTGAAATGGTTGCCACCTGTTTGAAAAGTCGAATTTAATTAAATCAACACAAGTTGCATATATTGAATTAAAAAAAAAATAGTTGTCAAACGAAAGAGTGTTAAGAAATCTTTAGTTTGAATATTTAGAATATTTTTGAGGTGCCTGAAGCGGTTTGCGAACTGTTTTGAAATTTAAATTCAAATATTTTAATAAGTCAAATGAATATAAATCGAAATGGTAAGTGGCTTCATTTTTGTATTATATTTAGTAGGATTGCAACGTGTTAAAAAAAAACAAATTCACCTAATTCATCAGTTAATTGTAATACATATGTATCTTGCTGCCAGTCGAAAGAGATTTTAGAATATTTTTGTTTGAAAATACTTTTGAAGAGGTTTGCCACCTGTTTGAGAAGTCGAATTTAGTTAACATATACACACACAAGTTATATGAAATATTAAAATGTGGGTTTCAAACGAAAGAGTGTTAAGAAATCGTTAGTCTAAACATTTACAGGCCTATTACAGCGCCAATCAAGAAGAAGTGGGCTGTAAACTATTTAATCAAATTCGACCAAAACCAACAAGTTATCGGCACTAATAAACGATTGGGTATTATTATTGAAAGTATCCTGAAGAGAACCAGAGTTTTCCAATGGACAAATATTGATTTTCAGGAATTGTATACCATTTCTACGAAAAAATTTATTTTTCCCATATAAAAATACATGGAAAACTTTAAGCGCTTTGAGCGACCTCTAAATATTTTTTGATTTTAAAATAAAAAATAGGGGTATACTTTTTTGGATATAGAACCATCCTAGGGGGTGAGAGAATTACAATTTCGACTTTGCTGTTTTTGGACCACCCTAATGTGCATACATACGAGCACCAATTAATTTCATTTAAAGAAATGGCGTGTAGTCCATTTCTGCTGTAGCGTATGTAGTGCATATTTTTAAGCGCAATATTTAACTACTTCCGGGGAGGCGACATCTACTTCTAGAGTCTAATGTTCTTTGGTATGATACCTGCCCACGAGGTTGATGTCTAGACTTTTTATAGGATCTTTGCAAAGCAAAGGTTTTATAGCTAAAAATGGGGTCTGGGCACACAACATTGCAAGTTGATAAAAGCGTTGTAAAATAAAAATTACTATTTTTAAACTCCTTTTAATTTTTAAGAACTTTTTAAATTTTTTTACTTATCATATTTCTTATTAAATTTTCTTTTACTTTTTAAATTTTGTTGTTTGAAAACGAAAATATAAATATTTTTTTTCATTTAATTTTTACTTATTTTATTTATATGTATTTCTTTTTTTTTATTTAAATTTTTTATTTTATGGTTTTAAAAAGAAACAGGTTTTTACTAAATTCATTTAGTTTTCAAATTTGTTTTTCTTCGTATTTTTAATTGATCTTTTTTAATTACATATACTTCTTTATTTTTTTTTTTATATATTTTTATTACTCATTATTTTAAAAAGAAAAATTCATCTTTTTTATATTCATTTAATTTATAGGAACTTAAATTTTTTTATTATTATTTTTACTATATAGTTTTCTTTTAATTTTAAAAAGAAAATATTTTTTATATCGTTTAATTACTAGAAACTTATTTTATTAACTTTTTTCTTTTTTAAATTATAATTTTTTTATAATTCTTTTTTTCTTATGATTTAATTTAATTTATAGAAAACTTATTGCTTAAAGACAAACAGAGTAACGCCTAAGACCTCCTCGATAGCATATCTTTAAATTCGTCTTGCGAAAGGCAGAAAAGAGCTTGCAAAATAGTTGCCAGAACTGACCGTTATCTTATAAACTACTTTTGTCTTTCGAAAGGCTGCGGTTAGTTGAAAGACAGTTGCCAGAATTGCCCAATTAATTTAGCAGCAAACTCCTCTTTTAATTTGCTACATTTCTACTCAGATTGCTGCATCTAAAAAACGCTTGAGAATTAGGCTTATAAATTCCACTAAAACACGTATCTTACCACAGATTTATGCCACCCATTACGCCATCCACATGGAAAAATGTACGAAATGCAGATCGCTTCTCACCCGTATGTCCGCAAACGGTGCCAATACCGCCTAACGGACCAGAAGCGCTGCTAGAAGTGCCGCGTGCGCGATTAGCACAACTACGACGACTGCTGCCATTGCTGAGTAATCAATCGGAAGACTGTTTATATTTAAATATTTATGTTCCATATGAAAATCGACGAAAAAGGCGTAAGTAAAAAATCAGGCAAAATGCATGTAAAAATTAAATGAAATTTGAAATCAAAAGCTCTGGAGTCATCAATTCCGTAGTGCATTGCAGTTGATTACTTAAATTACTGCAAGCATTGTGGAAGTGATAATACCTTGGCGATAAGCAACGTGTGACAAATACATATCATACATACGTACATATGTACATAGCTACCAGTCGTTAACAAACAAAATATCTTCAAAGTATACAATTAAATACATAGTTGCAAACATTTTCTCTCCCCTCGACACTCCTCCACTAGGCTCGACTGGGCCGAACAGCATGGAGCACATACACGATCCACCCACAACCTTGCTCGCCACCCTGCTACTCATACACGGTGAATCGTACGAGTGGAATTCCGGCAATCCTTACGATGGATCAGAGTTGGCAGCGCATGGCAATGTTATCGTAATCACCATCAATTTTCGGCTTGGCATATTTGGCTTCTTAAAAACTGGTGGCAAAGAGAGTGCACAAGGGAATTTCGGTCTAATGGATTTGGTTGCTGGCTTACATTGGCTGAAGGAAAATTTACCTGCCTTTGGTGGTGATCCACAACGCATCACACTGTTGGGTCATAGTACCGGTGCGGCGTTGGCCAATATTTTGATGGTATCGCCGGTGGCAAGTGGTATGGATTTTTCATTTCCCCTTCGTACAAATAGTGACACAGTGCACTAAGTGGACAATGTTAATTTTTACAGATCTTGTGCAACGCGCAGTATTGGTAAGTGGCTCTGCGCTATCACCATGGTCCATACAAAGGAATCCGTTGTTCGTGAAGCGACGTGTAGCCGAGCAGACAGGCTGTCATGGCGATATGTTGTACGATGATTTGGCGCCTTGCCTGCGAACGAAGACTGTTAAGGAGCTATTGGCTGTGAAAATCGATCATCCGAGGTAAGGTGGTTTTATTTGGGTGGCTACGAAGATAAAAAAATAAAAAATTAAATATTCATATAAATCAATTTTTTTGTTGGAATCAGATTTCTAAGCGGCTTTGCGCCTTTCATTGATGGCACAGTTATATCGCCGAATACCGATTCAGTTGGAGAATTGACACTGCCTTTGGGTTCAGTCATAGTTAGGTAGGTAGCTGTTTCTTTAGTAAATAAATTTGCATTCAACTACTTTTTATAATCGGGCCATCTACTTTTTTAATTTCTCTTTCAAACCACCTTCTTCGCACTCGTAGTACATCAGGAATTGAATTCGCAAATTTTCCAAAACGCGACCTCATTTTTTGCCTTACCTCAGTGGAATCGTATCTGGATTTGAGTGCACAAGATTTGGAATTTGGTTTTAATGAAACACGACGCGATCGCATACTAAGAACATTTGTTCGAAATAATTTTCATTATCATTTAAATGAAATATTTGCTGTGTTAAAGGTGAGTAAAGGAAAATATTTTGGTTGTTGAAAGAAACTAAGGGATTTTTTAAGGAATTTTGGGCTGAAAAAGGTTTAAAAAAAAAACAGAAGGATCCCTAGGAACACAAACTGGCATAAATTTAAGCCTTTGGTACATGAAATATTGGTATCCCCAGGCCGATCGACAGCATAGGCGACTTAGAAGTAGACCTGTTAAATAATGATTAATAATCATAATGATTATTAATTAAAGCATGTTTTTTTGTTTTGAGTAACCATTTAATGATTAAATGCGATTATTTGCACCTTTTTAATGATTAATAATTAATTACTTTCAAAAAGAATTTAATTAATCAATCAATTAATTTTAGTTACAAAATTATTTGGTTATTTTTGATTATTTTCAATTATTTTTGAAACTTTTTAATTACATGATTAATATAATTCTTTGATTATTTTCAATTATTTTTGATTTTTTGTAATTGCATGATTAATGTAATTATTTGATTATTTTGAATTGTTTTTGATTTTTTTTTTAATTATACGATTATCTAATATAATTATTTAATTTTTTTTTTTTAATTTTATTTCAACTTAAGAATAATATGTTGTACAATGTTGGGGAATGTAATTTCTGCAGTTTACGCTGTAATGTGAACGATGTATAAGAAATAATCAAATTAGAAGTTCTTGTTAAACACCCCACAGTGTAGATATTGACAAAACGTAATATCTCGAAAACGAAAACATCTAGTGAAATAAATTTAACCACATTCTAAAGCCTTGAGATATAAAATCGAGGAAAAATACTTTCGTTGGAAAAAAAATTGCCTTCACCTTTCATATCACCTTCAATTGTTTTAATTTTTTTTACCTGAAAACCGTATGATGTTTGAAAAAATTTAAACAGATATTTTTGGTGTTCTTGATGCCTTTTCAATGGTAGCAGGAACCGAAAGGGGCATTTTGTATATCGTTTTAAGTTCATTATATGCATATGACCTAAACAGTCAAAAGGAAGACAAAAAAACTAAAACTTTAATATACCTCTACAAAATTCTTTCTAGAAGTATTCATGAATAGCAAAGACAGTTGACATTGAAATGCTTTTGATAAATCATTTCTTAATTGTAAATTACAGTACCAGTACTTACTCGTACAGTGAATTTAATTTCAGTTATTTAATACTAATTTATAAAAACTTGCTTGCTAAACACAACTTCATCTATTTGGAAAAATAACTAAAAATAATCATATAATTAGAAATAATCAAATAATTGGAGATTATCAAATTATTAAAAACAATCAAATTATTAAAAACAATCCAGTAATTAAAAATAATCGAACAATTAAAAATAATCAAAAAAAGATCAATTTTGATTATTTGATTATTTCTAATTATTTGATTATTTTCGATTATTTTTTTAATGGCAATTAATCATGATTATTTTTGATAATTATAATTAATAATTAATTATTAATGGCTGGGTTACATAACATAACATAATATAACATAACGCAACGTAAGACAAAATAACGCAACGCAACACAAAATAAAATAAAACAACATATCATAACATAACATAAATTAACATGACGTAACATATAAACAAATTAATTAAGCGGATAACTAACTGAAAAAAATTTTCTGAAATTTAATGAAAAAATTAACATAGTATGTACACACATTCATATATATGTACATAACTTAACATAAAATAACATAGCATAACATAAAATAAAATAGCATAACATTAAAGAAAGTAACATAACATGTAAAAAGCATAAAACTGAATTGCAACAGGCAGATAACTAATTCAAGAAAAAATGTGCTGAAATTTAATGTAAAAAATTTAATCCACGTATGTATGTATGTACTAGAGGGCTGCATGACTTCATTCAAATTTCTAGCCAAACAGAGACATACAAAACACTCAGCGTTTGGAATTTTGTAAGTTATGAATATACATTTTGTTTTAAACCTTCAAATGGAATAAAAATGAATGAATGCAAAACATTCAAATTCATTTCCGTAACAGTTTTTTCTACAAACAAGTTTTTTCATATTGTAATAGGAGCGCGGCAATACATACACACATACATATGTATGTTTGGACATACATATGTGCACAGAAAAAATATTTTTGCATATTCATACAAAAAAAATTGGCATTTATTTCAATTCAATATATTTTCACATTGTTTGAATATTGTAATGTCGACAAATATACCAGAACAGGTATTCACTCAAATTCAAAAAAAATTGAAGCCAAAACCATTCATTCGTTTTGTATATGGATAATTCATAAGCCGTTTTGAATGAATTCATGCAGCCCTCTAGTATGTACATTAGAGTGGTGCAAAACAAAATTCCGAGATATGGTTTTGGGTCATCTTTCAAAATTTTTCATCTAGCCGAAAGAGGTGCAGGCACCAAACTTTACGTTTCTAAATATAAATTTACAGGATGCTCATGAAATTTTTATATTTTACTTTAGATGTATTTTGTACATACATGGCCGTAGCCGGGTAGGGCAGGGTGGGTGCTTGAGCCGAAATGAAATGCCAGCTTAATAGGGTTGTGACTGTTTCGAAGCTATCCAGTAGCTCATTTCAAGGTCATTGAGCACCCTGTATTGGTTACAGTAGACAATTGAAATTTGGTATGGATATTACAAATATCAAAAGGAATATCAAAGCTTGGACCACTCTAATGTACATGCGTCCGTCGTTTTCTCTCCCAAAAATCTGCCCAAATTAAAAAATATAATTATGTATTTTTTCCTTACAATATAAATTTGTTGTAGACAATTTTTGCGTGGAAAAATTCACGATAACCGCGAAGATTCGAAACCTAACGAAACTGTCAAAATCTGTATGGATAATGTATTTTTCGAATTTCGAATTTTTCGATTTCAAGAAAGTCGCTTAAATAGTTAACTTTTTTCCAGAATGAATACACCGATTGGGAGAAAGCGATACGCAGCCCGCTGAGTTCTCGCGATGCTACGCTCTCGTTTTTGAGTGATGGCCATACAGCAGCGGGTCTCATCAAACTAGGCTACATGCATAGCTTACGCGGTGGCCGCAGTTATTTTTTACATTTTAAGCACCGAACAGTCGAGGAGGAGTATCCGCAGGTTGGTTGAGAGGGTCAACGAGGAATGCAGCTATTCTATACGCATGTACATATGTACATACATATTTTTTAATAAAACTTTTTTTTAGCGAACTGGTTCCGTTCGTGGTGAAGATGTGCCTTTTTGGTTAGGATTACCCATTTCACCACTCTTCCCGCACAACTATACAACTCAGGAGAAACAGATTAGTCGCCTTATGTTGCGCTATCTCGCAAATTTTGCGAAAACGGGGTAAGGCAAAAATTTAAAAAAAAAAAAATATTAATGAAATAAAAATTGGTAGACTGTTTTCGAAAGTTATAACCAAAGTGTATTATACATAAACAGTTACAAAATTATTTTATGTTATTTACAATGCAGCTTCTCTGTTGCTCATACGCCGTGTATGCCATTTGAGTTACTCATACGCACTGTATTTGAACTATTTACGCAATTTTTGGTTACTCATACGCCATGCACACCACTAAAAATAGCACATACGCAGCGCTTAACATTTTACACTTCTCTTCTTCATCCCCTTAGCAATCCAAATCATTCAGGTTTAGACACACCATCCATATCTGCATCAACGTCCAAATTGCCGGTATTCACAGCACAGCTCATGGAGCATGGCAAAGTGAAGCGCGCCTCACTCAAGTCGCTAAATGCTGTCAATAAATTTTTCAATCTCACCGCGCCGCATCTACTCGCACTCCAACACGGCAATGCCGTATTAGATGCGCAAGGCTCGCTAAATCTCGCTTTATTCTACAATCAGCGGCGTAGCGGCGCAATGCGTGAACGGCGAGCTTACTACAAGCGACACTTGCGCAATAACAACAACAACAACAACAACGAATCTAATGAACTGTTGAATGCAGCATTGCAACGATTTGCTGCTGCCGACGAACCTAACCGCGGCGAACATTTGCCATTTTGGGATGCCTACGATGTGGTGAATCAACTCTATTTGGAGCTGGGTAATGAACACCGCCTTGAATGATTTTTGCGTGCATTATTGAATGTTTCTCTCTTTCTACTGTCCACTCGCTAGGCAATAAAGCAGAAGTGCAGAGTCATTATCGTGGACATAAATTGTCTATGTGGTTGAATTTAATACCACAGCTGCATAAGCATTCCAACATCAATGATCAGTCGATGCGCCATCATCAGTTCCCGGAAGATATCAGTAATCGTGATTTGTACGAAGGTATGTACATGCACATTAGGGTGGGGATGTAGTGTTATTGCAAATCGCATTTTTCTTACCGTTGTAGGCGTCGTACGTCCACAGCTGCAAACGAAGCCGCTAGACGATGAAGATACGGTTGTAGTGAAAACTCCAAAATCGACCACACCCACAAAGGTTGTGAGCAACAATACCAAAACTGGCGGCAATGCCTTGGCAGGCACCGTAACGACAGGTAATGAATGATGATTAGATCTTCTCTGGATTATTACTGAATAGGAATTAGAGTATGAGTACGAATGCGAATACGAGTACTAACTATGAATATGAATATGAATATGAATATGAATATGAATATGAATATGAATATGAATATGAATATGAATGTGGATATGATTATGAATATGAATATGAATATGAATATGAATACGAATACGATGTCCAAATCGATAATAAAAACGATAAAAACGCTCACAAAAATATCGTTAATGAAATATACAAAAATATTAGAAAATTACGATGAATGTCCATGAAAACTCCGAATAAGTTTCGACCTAATCCCCTAAATCTACTTTCTGTTTTTTTGATTTCGTAAATATTATCATACATACACTTTATTTTAATTCCTCTCCTCCCCCAGAATGCAACCCCGATGGCACAGCGTACGCTAACGTCGGCGATAGCGCAACCACGCAACCACCAGCAACATCTGACAATCGCTCGATGTTGGAAGGTGGCACACCACAAAAGGACTTAGCCACCGCCTCCACGGGTATCATAGGCAATTTGGAAATGTTTCGACGCCTTAGCGGCAAGCAATTTCCCAGCTACACCACTGCGTTGATAGCCACTGTAGCTGTGGGCTGCTTTCTGCTAACACTAAACATACTCATCTTTGCCGGCATCTATCATCAGCGCGAGAAGCGTGCACGCGATGCTAAAACCAAGGAGGAGCTACAAGATAATGACACAAGCAAGAACTCCAGCATACTCAAGTTGAATGCACTTGCCGATGATGATGGCAGTGTACATTTCGATGGCATCCCTAGCAAAAGTACAGTGGTTTTTGGCGAATATAACTATTATGATGAGAAACTTAAGTGTTCCAAGGATGAGAAACTGCTCGTTGACTTGCCACCAATAACTCAGACAACTGCACATATGGAATTGAATTGGCCCGGTGGTTCTGGCTCTACAAGCACATTGGATTTACTTAAAACGAAACATCATCACAGCATTATGGAGGCGCCCACTTGCAGCGGTAGCGGCAGCGGTGGCAAAGACGTCAATGAATTGCAACACCTACAAGCTATTAGCAACCTAGAATTGGCAACTTACAATACACAAATGCCCATTGTGCCCGGTGGCATTGCTATGCTAGAGTCAGCAATGATTATGCCTGGCGGCCGCCGCAACTCATTTGCCACTAGCGGCAGTCAAACAACCATGCAGTTCGATTATGCTGTACAATCCTCAGATCAGTTATCTTTTAAAGAAATCGAAAATGCTGTTAAAGTCTCCACGGATGATATAATCAATGATATGGACGATGACATACCAGAACCGCCACCGCCACCTAGATCATTTCAAAGCGTACACCACCAGCAACAGCACGGACAGCACCAGCAGCAGCAACAAGGTGGCATATTACGTTCGTCTGGCTCAAATACGGTTTCGAGCACGAGCGGCAAGAAACGTGTACATATTCAAGAGATTTCAGTTTAGAAATAGAGTCTACATAGAACTCAAATACGAATACTAATAATAACGTAGGTAATGCATACAATTACTAATGAATACTAAATAATATTGAATATCGTACAATGTACTCCTCATATGTATTTACAATCTTATTTAGCCTTATTTTGCAATAGTTTAGAAGTGATAGATATGGTACGCTTATAATTTTCTCCACTTTCAACACTAAAAATTTCCTTTGCTTTTCCTACGACTATGTAGTTTGATGTGCACGCGTACCATTTTGCATAGGTATACATAAACGAATGAGTTAAAATACAAATAGTTCCACTACTTAAATATTGCAACTGCGAAATCTATTGTGTATACTTACACACACACATTCATATAAATGATACATACTAAGTAAAATACTCGCTACACTTCAAAAATGTTACTTTCCATTCAGCAATCCTTTTTAGGGTCTCCAAACTGGCTAGCTGGCTTCTTATTTAGCAAATAAACCTATCATATTCTGCTGTAAATTATATTGTATTTACGTTTTGTAACAATTAAGAATTTTCAGATGCAATACGTATACATATTTGTGCGTATTAAAATAAAATAATTATTTACTGTATAATATTGTATGGTGACTATATGAATGTAAATGTAATGTAAGAATCAAATTCTTTTTTAGTACTAATAAATTTATATTTATTGTTGGACAAAAATTGGAGTGAGTTTTTATTAAAAGGCAGATTTTTATTAAAGGCTCTAAATATTTACAAGTACATTATTTTTATCTAATCTCTTCATAAGTTAAACATTATTTTGAAACATTCGGTTATTGGTTTTTATTGATTAACTTTTTGTTTTATTTTATAAATTTTTACAAAATCACTTACTGTTACTCACAAAATTGAACGTACGGTTTTTTTTTGTTAATACATATTCGTAATGTTTTACACGCTAAATTTTTGTTTTAATATGGCTTATATTTTAGCGAACCTTATTTAAATCCAACAATAAATTTGTGTACGAAAATTAAGAAAGATCTGAAACGTTACAGCAAAATCGCAAAATTTTTAATTAGAATTAAAAACAAAAAAAAACAAATTTCCTACGAATTTTTTTCATATAAACCAAAAATCTGAAAATACTTTATGTATTAGGCAAAAGAATTCTCACCAATTTAATGGGCACATTATTATACTGAAATTTAATGGTCTATAAAATTGCATATCTGAATTTTTTTAGAAATTGTTATTAAAACGTTTGCGATTGTGCTGAAACTTTGCTAATTTTTCTTAATTTTCGTACAAGTTTCATTCTTGTATTTAATAAAAGCCATATTTTGATACAAAATTAACAAAAAAAATTGCATGTAAAACGTCGCAAATATTAACAAAAAAAAAAACATCCTCCTACTTTTGTGAGTAAGACTACATATGTACATATTCTATATAAACTTGAAAAATCAAACCTAAATATAAGCGTCAGCGTTGTCTAGCTGTCAAAAATCTCTCGTGTTCATACAATTTGTATGAGGTTGGAAAATCCGATTTAGATTGGCCTTTATGAAGTGAAGTTGACTGCAGAAAACGACAAAACCGTAATTTTTGCATTTCTTACACACAAACTTATGTATGTTGTTTGCTGTTATTTGTACATTTGACGTGGCGTTGCCGCTTTTGTTTACGTATTACAATTAAGCGTTAAAGAAAGGTAGGCGGCAGAAAACGCTCCCCTTAACGCTTTTGCTTAGGTACGGCTGTTAGAAAATAGTAATTTATATTTAAAACTGTGTAAATAGGTTCGCCGAACTTTCAGCATCCATCTTAACATTGAACTTCAGAAATAAATCGAATACCCTTTCTAACGCTTCTTATGTTAAAACATTTAAAGTCCATAGTCGCAATAAGCATATGGAAGTAATTCCTTTACTCCCAACCAAGGTAAGATCGAAACTTCTATACTTATCGATTTAGACTTTTTCGCTTTTTCGTGGGCGATGTGAGCGGTTGCTCCTCAACCTCTGCTTTGATCTGTGTCGCAATCAGTGCTTCGCTAGTTACTTTATGCTTTTTACTTTTACTAATAGCCTTTTCAGCATGCTTTTCAGTTTGCGAACTATTCAATTCTTCATTACCGGAATTTTTGCGTTTCTTTTTTTCGGAGTCTGTTGGTTCTGTCTTAATCGGCAGGTTTTCAATGTATGATACTTCACTAGTGGTTTTTCGTTTCTTGGTTTGCGAGCTATTCAATTCTTCTTTAACGGAATTTTTGTGTTTCTTTTTTTCGGCGCTTCTTAGTTCTTTCTTAATCGGCAGCGTAGCACTAAATGATACCCCGCTGGCGCTAGCTTTTTGTTGTCGTTTTGCAATAGGAGTTTTTTCATTTATCTTCTTTGACCTCGAACTCACTTCACCTTCAGATACACACTCTTCTTTAATCAATGTGACAAGTTCATCCAGCTCGTGATTTTCGCGCTCTTCTATGCCTGAGTCCATGTTGCTATCAGCGCTTTCTGGTTCAACTTTAATAAACTTATCCTACAAGGATTTTGTATTTGTTACAGGTTTTAACAATTTTTGCCCTTTTCAACTTACCATGAGTTTATGTCCACTAGCCGTCACAAGATCACCTTCGATGTAAGGAAATACATTCTGCAGGTTAAACTTTTTAATACGGAATTGCAACGTATCATCCATTTTAAACTCTTCCTTGTTAATTTTTCCTGCAAATCTAATGCTCACGTTGAATACTCTATAAATGATGACGCCAATATGATGGTTACCAACGTGCTTCACCACGCCGTTCAGTATCGCCCCAGATGCAGGGCGGAACACATAGCAATCGGCATTAACATCAACATGTATACGTGGATCATCTGAGCGAAGTGCTCCCGCCGAGCCCAATACTTTAATATTCTTTATGTCGAGCACAATGCCCTCAAGACTAGCATCATAGTACCCAACTTTTCTACGCATAATATGAGCACTGAGCGCATGTTTGAAATCAGCCAAGCAATATGGGCCCAGTGATACATGCAGTTTGGAATTCACTTTTCGCACACATGAACCTTCTTGTTTTGTGTACGATTCCAACTCTTTTATTGTATATTTCACGTATTCCTGCAGTCGTTTTGCCATTTTTATTGATATAACCACAGCACTACCAAAACATTCGCCATAAGCACATTGATGAGGTTTAAGTCAAATGTCATTGTAGCGCTTCTCATGGTGAACGTACCCAATAGTGCAGTGATGCATTCAACCAGCACTGAACATATACAGCATACTTGGAAGGTAAATAATCGATAGAATTGCGACTATTGCAACTTGATGAAACTTTCTCTATATCTTGCTGAATTACAATAAGCGTTTCTACAGATATACATACATATGTATTTGTTCAATTTGTCCTTAATAATATTGTAAACAAATAAACTCAAATCAAATACCTCTTCCAACTTTTTAATCGATATTGTTACGATTATCCTTGAACCCTCGTCCGGATTTCCCAAATCTCCCGGTTCGTATCGCTGGATTGTTAAATAAAGGCTAACGATGACCAAATGGTAGTACAATTAACTTTATTGTACAACAAACAATTTACAATACTCGCTAATACAGTAAAAACAATTAACAATACTTGTTAAAGCAATAACAGCGCTTAACTAAACTTGGTAACACAGTTAAACTTATAGCTTGCTTATTCGCAACTCGCTTCTCTGCTCACTTTACTTGTAGCTTGCTGACTTGTAACTCACTCACCTCGCGGTGGCGGCGCCCTTATATACCTGCGCTGGCACTTATGGCAACTCTAGAACATTCTGAAGTTTATCGCTCATTCTCTTTCTCTCGCTGTTCGCAGTGTTCATCCAACTTGACGTTTCTCTTTGTGGAACATTCTACGTCATTCTTCGAACATTCTGCCTATTTCTCGTTGTTCGCTTTGTGTTGCCGCAGTATTCGCCACAATATTTTTAATTAAGTGGCAGCCTCACTCCTTGTCAATGATCCCTCACAGCTGATCGAAAAAATCCCTTTAATTTGCATGTGCCAACAAAATAGTAATGTGCTGAGTCGGTACTTTGAAGTATTGATCGAAACTCGGTACCGATTTAAAAAGTATCCAATACTTTCGATACTCGGTACCGAAACGTTTAGGCTTCCAATTAGAACGCATGTAGACCAAAAATAAAAGCGGTTTAGAGGAGCCTAGCTTATCAAAAGAAAGTGCGGAGAAAATCTTCCTTATTTGAAACATTTGTTTCTAGATGAATCGAACGATGTCATCTTTGTAGGCCGGAAAAACTTCCTTCATCCGTCAAAGCATTTTTCTTAAATTTAAGATCTACGAAGGTGCAATTTGATAAAACGATATTTTACTGTTGCGACAATATTAAGAAGGCGATGAGAGTGTTTTGATAGTGGTTTCCACATTGCTTAGTACAAATTGTTCAACTTTTAGGAAAGCATCGTCTTACACGTACTAATTGTAAAGCATATTCATAGTCGAAATAAAGTCGATGCAACTTTTTTGACAGATATTCTGCTGAAAATTATGTCAAAAAGCTGCAATTATGTATAGAATCGGTATTGGGTAACGAAAAGGAAGTATTGGGTACCGAAATCTTCCTGAAGTATTGGGTACCGAGTATTGGGTACCGGCAATTCAGCACATCACTACAACAAAAGACAAATTTTCATTTGTTTTTAATGTTTTACACAAATATAAATAAGTGTATGGAATAAGCCACGCGTTCAATAGCCAATAACATTGCAAATAAAGCAACAAATATCCTAGTCAATTTATACAATATAGTAGTTTAGCAAGGTTATCATTTGCAAAGATGTTTATCTAAAAAAATCGAACGAATTGATTAAGTATTACAAAATTACATTGAATAGTTGCTAAGTAAACGCGTTTACTCGAGCAATGGTTTCGGCAATACACAAACGCCTGGGGGCTTTATTTATCGTGTTAATATTTTTGTACCTCTACATGCGCTTTTTTACGAATTATGTTGACTTTACCTATGTAAGTATTATCATTAAACTAAAGTAAACAGAAGACGCATAGCCGGTATACCACTCTCACTTTTTAAATTAGTTCCACCAAACCCATGAACGCACAGCCGGAACGCCCTTATTAGTGACGGTGTATTACGAGGCGCTATGTGGTGATTCTAAGCATTTTATAATCAGGCAATTGTTACCAGCTTTTAAGCAAGCTGAGCCACTTATGGAAATTCAAATGATACCTTATGGCAAGGCAAAAACTTTCACGGAACCAGATGGCACATATCGTTTTGAATGTCAACATGGAAGTGTCGAATGCGAAGGAAATATGTATCATGCATGTGCTATTGAAGCGATTGAAAGTACAAAGGATCGACTTAATGTTATTGCTTGTATGATACGTGATAATAGAGCGCCCAAGGAAGCTATGCATAAGGTATGAATTATTAGTACAAGAGTTTGGGGTACCTAAAGTACCGAGGTTTCAAATAACATATGTACATCCACACAACACAACAGAATTACACTTTAATATGAACATCTGTAGTTTTGTTTGCTTTCATGGCCAAAAAAGCCATTCACATACTAAACAACTCAATTTATACAAGTGTGCATATACATATTAATGAAGATGTACATTACAAGATCTGTAAATAATTATAAACTTATGTACATTAGCACGTGCAGTAATAAAACTTTTAATTTTTTTTTTTAATTACAGTGCACCCGTCAATATGGCATTGAAAATACTGATCTCATACAGAAATGTTTCAATAGCAGCCATGGCGGAGAATTGCTAAAACTCTACGGTGAAGCTACGGAGGCACTTCGGCCGCCAGTTAAATTCATACCTACTATAACACTAGATGGATCCCAATTTCGACAGGCAACTATTCTAAAAGATCTACTAGGTGAAGTTTGCAGAACTCTTGGGGAGACAGAGCAAACGAAAAAGTATTGCATTTCATAAAATAGCGCGGTGGAAAACTTCCTAAAGAATAAACGTGCATATTTTATTACCACATAAAGGCCAGAAATATGTGTAAGCCACCTTGTCACGATTACTAAGACATTATTGCATTTCAACAAATTTCTCAATATCTATTTTCCAATATTGAGGTGTATTAGTGCAAGAAATCCTCAGCCTGCACAAAACAAACCATTTTAAAAGTTTTAGTCATATATGTACATACATACGTAACCCAATTGCATACTCATTAAAGTGACAAATGTAAATACATACATGCGGAATTATTATAAAAATTCATATATATATATTTTTCAGATATACAAGTGCCGTGTAAAGCATTTTATTTGAGAGAAATTGAATAAAGTAAAGCATTTAGTTACGTTTGTGAATCTACAACTTTATATAGCAATGCTGGTCATACATATTTGCCACTACAAAGAATTCGCAAAGTTGATAATACTAATATTTATAATGCATAGCTTATCTGAAGTACATATGTATGTGCTGAGAACTCGAGCACCCAACTTGGAGAGGAACTGATATTGAGCACAAGAAAATTGGTCTTGTGTGATTTCTTAGAAATCGATTGTTTATACAAACATATATATGTATGTATGCATATCATAGAAAAAATTTACTACATATATCTACTTTCTTTAAGTACAACTTTATTAACAACTACTAAGGCGTCTCAATTACTAATAATTGCTTTCTCAGCAAGTATTTTTAACATTTTTATGCACTTATTAAAGAATAAAAGGACACCAAGCGTTTCCATACAAATTTATACAAGCACATGTACATTACGATTGCGATTAAACTTCATTAACTAACAGTTATATCACTTTGTGTGATATAAATATTTATGTTTTCATCAAGTACACCAGCTTTGTCGGTTGGTTTTGAAGTGAGATGTGCACCATCGGCGGCACTATCCCTTAATATAAGCGAAAAACGCTTCATAAGACAACTTTTGGCGTCACATAAGCTCAAAGCAATATCCAACTTCACCTCTTCCTCTGTCGGCAGAAATGAAGCTATACGCTCGAGCTGCAGCTGCATTGTGCCATTGTGGATTTGTCCTGAAGTGGCAGAAGCTCGTAAAGCTGGTGCTGCGCTTTTCAGTGTCCAACGTTGTGGCGCTCCATCAGTTAATGTTAGCTCGTTGCTAAGGTTTATATTCACGCGCAATTTCAACTGTACGCAGGCACGTAATGGCACACGTTTGAGCAGCTGTAAGCTCCCACTAATCAACGAATCTGTTTCCGTAGCTGCTTGAGCAGCAGTTACAGCGCTAAAATTCAGCAAGAAGGTTTTCGCTATCAGCGTTTTCATGTCGACCAATTGTATACTGTGATTATTGGTGTCGGCCACATATAAAAGTTGGCCGCTGGCATCAAAACATAGACCGGCCGGCTCATTTAATTGTAATGTAGTGTCGCTTTCATCTTTGATCAATAGAGTTTCTACTGAGCTTGCGGTAGTATCAATCACTTTGATTTTATGATTATAGGTGTCGGCTACGTAGATTTTATCAGTTACGCTATTGTAAGCGACTGCCAATGGATGCTGCAACTTTGCATTATACTGCTTTCCATCTACATCACCGAAGGCGAATAAATTCTGCAAAGAAAAAACTTTTTATCGTTACTATTTAAACTTTTGTAACATTTTTTCACATTTACCAAAGGATTACGATCGCCACCCACAACCGGCATCACTTTGCCGTCCACCATTGAGACCTTGCGTATGCTGGAGCTCTCGCTATCCGCAATAAAGAGGAAATTCTTCGCCAATGCCAAGCCAGAGGGTTGCGCAAACGCCGCGTTTTGTGGATAAGAGTTATTACGATTCTCCTCCATGCCATTGCCGCATATAGCAAGACAAGTACGCGGATCCAACTGTCTATATTTCCACCAAATTATGCCCTCTGGAAAATAGCCCCATATTTGATGTGTGCCAGCCATGGCCACTAAAACGATTGCCTTCTCAGGCACAATACGCTCATCAACATGAAAGGACATATCCATGTCGCGCATCCTAAACGCCGCAATGTCCCAAGGCGATGAGATGGCTTGTAACGGACCCAACTTACCGCCAACACGATCAATACCCTGCTGGCCCGTACCTGCTAGAGTTTCAACGCGACGTGTGCTCAATGTAACCTGTCGCAACGCATGATTCTCTGTATCGGCCACGATTAATACATCATCGTCAAGGAAATCCAGTCCTTGAGGTGAGTTAAAACGTGCCGTCTCAAAATCTCCATCCACAAAACCAGCACTGCAGCCACCAATTCGTTGGTGTACCACACCTTCGCTATCGAAAATCAAAATACGATGATTACCCGCATCGGCCACAGCAAAGCGTCCATTTTCACTACGAGCAATTTTAGCCGGAAAACGCAAGTTTGAGGCAGGCAAAGAATCTGTGGCCAGTTTCAGTGGCAGTTCAGCATTATCAATTTCACCTTTTGCTTTATAATGACGTAATGCCTGCTCGGTGAAGCATTGTAGAAAAACGCCGTGACCTTCACCCATCAGCAGTAGCATTGGCGCACCTGATGGATTCAGTACCAGCAGCGATGGCCAACAGCGTATGCCTATGGCACGCCACAATGTCATGCGTGCATCATTCACGATTGGATGCGTAATGCCATAACGTTGTACTGCGGAGAGTATATTTGCGCCATCCTTTTCATTTTCGAATTTTGGACTGTGTACACCAACTACAACGAGCCCACTTTCGGGTGGGAAGAGCTCTTCAAGTGCATGCAGATCCGGTAAAATGTGCATGCAGTTTATACAGCAATACGTGAAGAAATCTAGTACCACCAGCTTGCCCCGCAGCGACTTCAAAGGTAACGGGCGTGTAACATTGAACCAATCGAGATCTGTAAACAAAATTTGGTAGAATTCTAAAACACATAAAGAATCAAGTAATTCAAACCATCTTGAAACTCGATTTTCATTTTCTTCACAGGCGCGAGTGCGTCATCTGCATCCCAACGACAGAGGAAGTCAGAAATAACTTTTGCTTTCTCTGTGCCATCTTTGGCACGACGGAAACGCCCCTGTAGCTCTTCAGTAGTATAAGCCAATATGTCCATGGGGTCCAATGGCTCCGAATCCATTATTGAGCCTTGCAACTGCTTATTAAATACACCAAGAATATTTATGCAGTTGCGCCAAAACCTTTTCACTGGCGAGGCAATTTTGCTTGTTGTATAAATGGAAAAATATAATAGATAAACAAATATGTAAGGAATGCAGCAAATCTGGACGATGATGAAAGACAGCCGTTGAATATTGCCACATTAACTAAATGTAGAAACTCATAATTTGATCTGAGTGGCAACGAGTAATACGATCTTGAACGGCAGCACTGTTGCTCGTGGGCAAGAACTGTTGTGTAGACAACACTGAAGCGCAAAACGACGGCGGAACTCAGTTCGGAAATAGTTAAGCGGAAACAATTGGACGGAAATTGCAGAAATCGTAAGCTAAATGAATAATCAAAGTGGGTAGTGTGCTATTGTGTGTTTTAATATCCCGCTAATGTAAAAAGTTATTAATAATAACAAATGCATCATAAAATGAAAATTGTGTGTGATTGAACTTCTTACGGAATTCAACCTACCGCCGTGCCTTGGCTTCACTAGCAAAAGCTGATAATACCTAAATTGTGCATTAAATTACGAGGTTTTGAATCAGAAAGGCTTCCAAAGTGGAATTAAAAGATGAATTTATGTATACACATGTGAAAAAAATATATTGCTAATTGTGCGAAAAATCTGTGCTTCGGTGGCTGCAAGAAGCAATTAAGTTGCTGTGTATAATTTATTTTTTCATTTGTTAAGATGGCGGCGTCCGCACGACAGTCGCCTCTATCGCGCTTGAAGCGAATACAAAGATGGCAGACTTGCTCAAACGGTGAGCAGTTTATTACTCTACTTTATTACTTTAGCATAAGATAAATGGAGGTGCAGATATAAAAAGTGTCTTTGTTCACACTTATCTGGTTAAAAATTGTTATTTTGTAGTGTATTTTATTGTTGTAAACTAAAGACAAATTTTAACCACATAACCAGATAACCTGTTCACCACGCAACCACAGTGTTTTTTAAGAAGTTGCGACAATGTTGCGAACTAAATAAGAGAAGTGATAAATAGTGAAGTAAATCGAGCTGTCTATAGAAATGGAATCGAAATATGTGTNTACATAGCTCCTTTCGAGTAGAGCTAAAGAAATTTTTCAAACACAAAATTGCCTTGATCCGAAGATATTTATATTTTTTATTGTATAAAATAAAGGAACATCATAATTTGTTGAAGTGTGTACTTAAAATTGATAGTTTCTTTTACACTTGTATGTGAAGTGTGTGCCGTTATTGATACAAACATTTAATAAATTTTATGTAAAATACATAATAATGTGTGCTAATAATGTTTAAATATATATGTGTGTATATTATATACATATGTGAATATATGTATGTATGTTATACAAATTTTTTTATTTATATATTTTGTGATAAAATATTCTTTCTTCTTCATAAATGTATATTCTGTATAGAAAGTCCTTAAATATTTCATTTCATTATTATTTTTAAGATTAAGAGAGAGAGACATATGTATCAAGGTAATTCATACCATTTATGGGAGAGCAAAAAAAAAACAAAAAATGTTAATTTTAATGCTTTCCATTTAACAATTATCTATGTATACATATATTGTAGTATTTTGTTTTAACGATTCTACATACTTTTCGGTGTGCGTGGGTACATAACGTAAATTCACTTTTTGCCATAGTTAATTTAAAATACATATTTAGATACAATGTAAAAGTGATTATGAATGACACTTAAATGACAATAGTTGAACAACAGCGAAGACAATCAAAAAAATATATATTTATTTAGTTATTTATTTATTAAATTTTTTTTTTTAATTTTTGTTCTTGTTTTCAGTTTATAAAGGCCCGAACAAGTTGACAGCGGGATGGTTGTCGGCAGTGTTGCCCAAGAATTGAGCATACAGTTCCTTGTAACGATCCAATGACAGGCCACCGCGTTTCCTGTCTTCGTCCTAATTTATTTAAATAACAAAAAAAATTTNGCGGGATGGTTGTCGGCAGTGTTGCCCAAGAATTGAGCATACAGTTCCTTGTAACGATCCAATGATAGGCCACCGCGTTTCCTGTCTTCGTCCTAATTTATTTAAATAACAAAAAAAATTAAATTTTTATCGAAGAATTAGTCAAATAAATAAATGAGAGTTTCTCTAAACTTACATTTAATAGAGCCTCGAAGGCTTTATCGATTGGTGAAACATCATCGATAGCTATTCTGGTAATGCAGTTGTAACGGTATTCCTCAACTCCCACAATACCGTCGCTATTGATGTCAAGGATTTTGAAATTGGCTTCAATAAATGCCCTCATTGCCTATAAAGGAAAGTGAAATCAATAAAGTAAATTTTCAAACTCAGTTATAAATCGAGTCATTAGTCGATTAAGCCAGATACTTCCTCGTATCTCAAGAAAGTTTGCGTATAGCGCTATTTCGTTTAATTACAAAAACTCAATAAATTAGATAGTCCAGTGATTACAAAGAAAAAAAATTATGTACGAAATAAAAACTAATTTAAACTTTTCGTAAAAATTTTAAATGTAAAAATCTGAAATGCACTTATGTNTAATTACAAAAACTCAATAAATTAGATAGTCCAGTGATTACAAAGAAAAATAATTATGTACGAAATAAAAACTAATTTAAACTTTTCGTAAAAATGTTAAATGTTTTAAAAAATCTGAAATGCACTTATGCGTGTACATTAGGGTGGCCCACAAATGCATGTAGAAAAAGTAAAGTTCGAAATTTTAATGTTCCACGCCGTAGGATTGTTCTATACTGAAAAAATATACCCCCATTTTTTATTTCGAAATCAAAAAATATTTAAAGGTCGCTCAAAGCGCTCTAAGTTTTTCATGTATTTTATATGGGAAAGAAACCATTTTGCGTAGAAATGGTACAAAGTTTTTGAAAATCAATATTTTTCGATCGGAGAACTCTGTTTCTCTTCAGTTTTCCAGTAATAATACGCAATTGTTTATTTCACCATTTTTTAATACTAACGATTATTTTATGGGTACCCATTGCATTTCATTTTTTTTTTGGGCTTTTAGGGGGCCAATAAAAAATAGTTAATATTAAAAAATTTTTAAATAAACCATGGCGTATAATTACCATATATACCATTTCTACGAATAAATAAACATGAAAAACTATGAGCGCTTTGAGCGACCTCCAAATATTTTTGTGATTTCAATATGAAAAACAACAGGGGCAAAATTTTTTCCATCAAACCTAGGTGGTGAGACTTAACTTTTTTTTTGTTGATCACCCTAATGTATATATATATATATATATATTTATGTACTTCACAACTGACTCTCTCTATGACACAATTTTCAACTGGGTTTTTATTGTACCTCAAAAATTTTAAATACACACCTGGGGGAATTCTTCGTATTTCTTGCCTACGCAAGTTTTTCGGACGGCTTCCTTGAATTCAGCATTGGAAATTTTACCATCCTAATTAAACAAATAAATAAATATGTAGCACAATTTTAAATTTATTCTTTAGCAATCATGTCGCATACGCACTTTATCATCATCAGCAATTTCTGAGATTTCATCCCATAAGTTCTTCATAAGTTTTTGATATTCTGCAATGCGTGCAGCACTGCAGTCGCCTTTGCCTTCCACAACGCATGCCCGTACAGCCATGCACTGGAAGTCATTTTGATCCAGATAGCCATTGTTGTCGATATCTAAAAATGCAAATGTAGAAAAATATATGTATTTTTTTAGTATAAAATATGAAATGTGTAATGGAATCTACATATAAATATATGCCAAGGAAATTGCAAGGCGAATTCATATAAGGTGGTGTTGCTAGAACAGCTGATTAAATGCGCCTCGGTACACTTATATCAAAACTCCTTATGAGTGAGTGTGAAGTAAGAGTTNCCTCAAAAATTTTAAATACACACCTGGGGGAATTCTTCGTATTTCTTGCCTACGCAAGTTTTTCGGACGGCTTCCTTGAATTCAGCATTGGAAATTTTACCATCCTAATTAAACAAATAAATAAATATGTAGCACAATTTTAAATTTATTCTTTAGCAATCATGTCGCATACGCACTTTATCATCATCAGCAATTTCTGAGATTTCATCCCATAAGTTCTTCATAAGTTTTTGATATTCTGCAATGCGTGCAGCACTGCAGTCGCCTTTGCCTTCCACAACGCATGCCCGTACAGCCATGCACTGGAAGTCATTTTGATCCAGATAGCCATTGTTGTCGATATCTAAAAATGCAAATGTAGAAAAATATATGTATTTTTTTAGTATAAAATATGAAATGTGTAATGGAATCTACATATAAATATATGCCAAGGAAATTGCAAGGCGAATTCATATAAGGTGGTGTTGCTAGAACAGCTGATTAAATGCGCCTCGGTACACTTATATCCAAACTCCTTATGAGTGAGTGTGAAGTAAGAGTTTTGGCATTTTCTTTCCCTCTTCCTCCTGGAGCGAAGAATAGCTGAAATTTGATATTTGATATTTGGGTACCGAAAGCGAAAACAAAATACATTTAAGAGATTGTTTTTGTACTACCGCTACATGAATTCGCCTTGGGAAATTGTATACTACATGAACATGACACCCAGAGTGTCCAGATTTGGTGATTTTTTTTTTTTTTTGATATTTGCCCGTAAAAATTTAGGAAATCGCCATTGGCGATTTTTTTCCTACAAATAAATTTTTTCCAAATATAAAAATATACAAAACTTAGTTTTCCACGATAATTTTACAGAAGAGGCTAATAAACTGCGTGATAAACTTGACTTAAGAAGCATATTAAAAGACTGTAAAAAATGTTTAATCACCATAATCGAAGTACATTTGAAATGATTACCTAGTTAATTAAATACTTTTAAAAAGCTTTGATTCTGTCACCAGTAAAGTGTGTGAATCACAAGGGGGCGAGTTTCAGGGACCACACAATTCACTATTTGACTTTGAAGGAAAGAAAAGCAGCGGAAACTGAATATTTAAATCTTTTAACTTTCCCATGGAATAACTTTTCTCAGAACCATTCCATCCGACTCTGAAGAACTTTGGATAATTGCTTATGGAGTGAAAACCGCAACAGGCAATAAAATGTTTTGAAGAAATTGTGGAAATAGCTGATCTCGCCTTATATTTAGATTTTTATTTAATTTTTAGCGCCGAGCTCTTAAAAGCGGTTTGTGCGATTAATCACATATTGTTGAAACATATGCAATATACATTGCAAAATATGTTGAAACAAATATTTTTAAAAGGTATGCGTATTTTTAAAGAAAATTGATTGTACATCACTATTATATAAGCGATTTGTGTTATTTATTATTACCCTCTGAAGGTATTATATTTTTTTGGTTTTAAAAAACTATATTATAACAAGATCTCGTTTTTAAAATAAAAGATTTGTTAAATCGATTTCATGAATTTTATTTAAAAAAAATAGTTGGCGATTTTTGGTGATTTTTTTTCATAAATTGCGCTTTTTTTAAACAATCTGGACACTCTGATGAGACCATCGCCGTACACTACTGGGTCTAAAGTGTTTTTTCAAGGCAACTTTGAAAAAAATTGTTTTTTTTTTGCCGAATCTTTTACATTTCTAGTCATATTCAACAATGGTTATTGAGCTTGAGGCCGTTTTTAATGAAAAATTATTGTGGAAAAGCAACATTAATTTTGAAAAAATGTTAGAAGTGATAGATATTTCGGAAATCACCACATTTCTCATCAAACTTCTTTCAGTGGGATTCGATCCAACGACCCCAGCTGAATCAACCAGGCCATAAAATAACAAAAACACATTTCTAGTCATACATTGATTGCAAGAATGCAATAAGACGAATGTTATTAAATATATATAAAAAAATATCAAAAAAAAAATTCGAAAAAATGTTAATAGCTATAACATCGAAAATAATTCGAATTTTGAATAGCAGGACTATTCTGCGTTGGTATCAAAAATTTTGCTACCGGTGAACAAAGTTCCTGTTAATCTATTTTGGAACGAACTTCCGTCATCCCTTGTCAAGTTTGGTTTGCAGACAAACCGGTTTTGGCATTGTGCTATCTTCAGTTCGTTCTGTTTCCTTTTAATTCTTAAACCGTTTTCACATTCTGCGCACTCTTGTAACCGGTAAATTTTGTTATTATCTCATAAACAGGTAACAAAATAAAAAATTGCTGAATAAGTTAAAACGATACCAAGGCACCTGAATTTCGGCTATAAGTGGTGACAATTTTAGGCAACTAAATTTTCCAGTTACATACAAAATGTGCGGTAACAAGCTGAATGGCAAGTCTGTAATTGTCAAATTTCTATTTTTTGTCTATGTGAATCGAAAAAACTGAATTCAAAAAAAAGCTCGACCTTCGAAAAAATGTTGGCACCCTTCACAAATTTT